TCTCCCAAAAGAAATACCTGCAAGGAACTGGAGCTTCCACTTCTCTCAAGCCAATTGTATCTCTTTTGTATCTTTATTGTGGAAAAGAGCGTTTACATAGAAATCCAAACACAAATCGCCTGAAGTATGCGGAAAACACAGTACAGACATGTTGGTTTGCTGTCTTTGCTGTTATGCCTGGTGGTCACGCACTATTGCTGCATACATACTGAGAGGTGTTCACTGTTGCTGCAGGCGGTTTAGTCTCAAAATCACACATCAAAAACCGCGTTGGTTTCTGTCGGCCGTGTTCCGCCCCTAAACCGGGATTTTTACTTGGCTGATGCACCACTTTGAATGGGGAGTGTGTTGCGTAGGGCGCATATAAATCATGTAAACAATTTGGCCCTAACGTTGAGCGGTTGAAAAATGGATATAAATTCAATTGAAATAATGAAGCCGCCGCCCGCGAGTTTCCGTGGACCTTCTGCGAGTGCTTCTGCCGGCTCTCCCGCGGATGTTTTCGCCTAAGGCGCTTCCGCAAAAGGGATTTCTAGTCTTTGGCGAAATCCCTCCAAAGGAAAAGAGCTTCCACAAGATTCCGCAAGACCTTCCGCAAGCGAAGTGCTTCTGCGAAAGGCTCCGCACGCACGGCGGAAACCACTTTTCGGAAGTTGTTGCCAGCTGATTTCCGAAGTTCTTTCCGTACCTAATAACTTTCCTCTAGCGGCCATTTTCAAACTGCTCTGTTGAGAACACAATACGAGCGTATTCTCAGTCAAGGCTCATCCTTGCGTAGCAAGCGCGTGCGCATCGAGCGCATGACCTTCGGCTTGTGCTGACTGCGTTCAGGAGTCATAAGCTCCATAGCACTGGCACGACCACAGCAATGCATGTGATCCAATGAAAGGAACATCTGGCAAACAGAGGGAACTTCATACTCAAACAGAAGACAGCCCAGTCCTCTGGGGAAGCAGGGCGTGTTTGCAGGCCTTCCTCCGAAAATCATCGCCGCAATCGGCAAAGGCTGGAGCATGATGGAGCACCTAAGCCATGCAAAAATTGCTCACAAAGAATGTGCATCAAATCACTCCTGGAGCCTTCGCAAGAAATTGATAGAAATTGTGCTGAAGCCGTGGCTTCAGCAGACACATAAATCAGAAGTGGCGGGCTGGCCGTGGCAGGGGCGTGCCCCAATACTGGGAATTTTTGGATGAATACAGTACACAGCTTGCAACATTCAAATCACAGCCTACAGCCACGGGAGATGACTGAGTTATACTGCTGGTCGTTGAACTGCCGCGAAAAAATATTGTTCTTTCCTATCTTCTTTCGCTGATGTCTCACGAAACGTGGAAGATCATTCTCAATGAGTCACAATGGCATAACCAGAAAACAAGGACCTTGAGAATGACTCTGAAACGTCCCTTGGCTTGCAAAAAATTGTCAAGCACGCTCCTAGCGGCGTTGTCCACCTGCGACTCCAGAAGATTCACCTGACCGGATCCGGCAATATGGGGCAATCTAGATTTGGAGGTTTTGCCGAAACTAAATTCTAGAAATGTGCAGTATGTTTGCGACTCACGCCAAGATAAGGTAGACTCTACTCCGCAAATATGCCGCAGTCGATAGCCGAATCGCAAACTGAGAATGCAACAGTCAAGGTGTCGAAGTGGATTACCTGTCCGGGATACCACTTTTGGATCAGCCCAATATCAACGTCTCCGGGGCGAGCTACTGCTCTCAACCTCACTCAGTTTCGGGACACTGTCTCAGGAGATGGAATGTTGCACTACGTGATATGATGCCACAGCCTCAGAGGGAAAGTGCGCCAATCCCTCTAGAAGCACCTGGCGATTGAGCACCTGCGGTTCACAAGCATACCCAATATACTGCTCTAGACAGACCCGCATGCTCATTGTTCCACACGTACATAGTCGCATGGCTCATGGCTCATGGCAGGCTGCGTTGCCTGAACGAGGGTCATCTCAAGGCTGACGGCAGTTGCCACAGCTCCCTTTGACCTGAGGGTGCAGAGCCGGCACCACTGTCCCTGCAGTCATTCCAGACTGGGAACCTGGCACCCCCAATAGTTGCGCATCACCAAAATAAGATCCCCGGGAGAAGGTTTCCTGGTATGAGTGCCAGGTCATAAGGTCAAAGCTCTGCTTGCGCAAGTGCTTCTCAGGGGCTGGATGACCCGGCTTCTCCAGACAAATGCTGCCCTGCAGGACATGCGGCAGCCCAGCACGAGAGTTGCAGAAAGCTTCATCAGTCATCAGTCCTTGCAAACGATGTACAAATTCTGAGTCCTGTCGTCCTCTCCTTAGCTTCGTGGAGCTTCAAGTAGCAGACATCGGTGCGCTTACGTAATGCATTCACATATTTCAAAGTCACATAAAACACGAACACCCTAAGGACGGAAGCCTGTTTTGTAAGCAATGCTGGCAGCAGTGTGGTGGTGCAACCTTGATTATGTTTTGAGCAACTTGAACCCTCGTTGCTGTCCAGCTGCCGAAAACGGTATCGTCAGAGAAGTATATCCTTTCGTCAAAAGGTGAACGGTTCGAAGAATGAGCACGGAATTCCGGGCTCGGCGTGCCAAATCAATCTTTTTAACGAAGTTGCCATGTCCTGGGCTCCAGATTGTCCTGGATCCAGGCCAGGAAGTCCGTAGAAAGGCCCTTGAAGATGGACAGCTGAGCCTCTGGTTGGTGAAGGCTCGAACGTAACTGGCAACCTTGCCAGGGGGCAATGGGCGCACTGCCAACTCGACTGGGGAATTTGGATCTTCTTCAGCACGAGCTCTCGCCTTGCCACCTGGCTAGGCCAGGGGGCAAAGGGGTGGAAGTACTGCTTACGGGCCCACCTAGCAGGCCGCGAAGCCCTTGCTTCGATCGCGGGGACAAGGCAGGGGACAAGGCAGGGGACAGCTCTCCGTTCGTGTCGTCATCCTGCCAAGCATTGCAACGCTTTACGTCTGCCAAAAAGCCGTCAGCGGAGGCTCCACTGCATGCAGTCCTGCCCTTCTGGCACACCCGTCAGCCTGGCGGCTTTCAACTAGCCAGCATTACCCGGACGTATGCTTGAATGAGCACTTGAATGAGGGAACTAATCCTCCTTAAAGCTGCTTGGGTGGTGCATTAACCAAGGCTGCATGCAGGCTTGGGCCTCCTTCATCCTGTTAAAACAAGACCGTGGGCTGAGCGCGAGCTACACTGTCATACTACATGACGGTGAGTTCAATGAAGGTGTTTTTGTCCCTGAAGGTTCCTATGTTGACACGCCTCATGCAGTTGGCACTTTGCATATGTTCGCTGCTGCTTCGGGTTGTGCTGGTGATGTGGATGGAGAGAAATATGTAAATGTGACGTGCTGTGCCCCCACAGTATGTTTTGCTGATTCACGGGGTGCTCTAAGGCAAGATCAACCTGTGTCTAGGGTCATGATGAGTCATGTACCACTAGTCCTCAGGCCAAGACAGTTCGGTGATCAAACTATAGGGTGGCCCAGGTTAGTGAGGACCCATGTTCCTGGCCCAGATGTTTTACCAGTACTGGGGTGGTCTGTTGCCACACTTCAATGCGTATAGATGGCAAGACTGCAGTTATCGTTTCATCTGAGCCCATTGGCCCCTGGCGGGGTGGAATACCAATAGTTGTCTGTGCACACACGGCTCCCTGGCATTCTGGATTGCAGGCCATGTGCCACCGAGCTTTGCATGCCGGTTAGATTGTTGATGAATGGGATGCAAGTGAGCGCCTTGCCACCTGCATCGCAGTCAGCAGCCCAAGTATGCGCTTCATAGCAGGGTAGTGGTCCTTGGAAGGGGCTGATGCATGACGCAGCAGGACAACGTCTGCCTATCATATGAGCGTTCGCCGAAACT